TAAATCGGCGGACCTCGAATCCTACGGCCTCATCAACAGTTCTTCAGAACCCACGGCGCGATGACCAAGCGATGGCCTCCAACCTACTAGCTAGTGATGGCCTCCAACCTACTAGCGATGGCCTCCAACCTAAGAGCGATGGCCTCCACCCTAGGAGTGATTCCGATGGCCAACCTACTAGTGGAGCCCCACTGAAGCTCTCTGAGCACTGCCAAAGCATCTAAGTCGTCGGACACCTCGCGCTCCGCGATGCCCAAGCGCTGCGCCTCCGCCACCGCGGCTTCAAGGCTACAGCGCTCGCGGCGCATCCTCGCCGGCGAATGAGGTGGACAAAGACAGGCGCTGGTGACTCGAACACCTTCAGTCAGAAGAGCTTGCAGGCTTGCAGGGTTCAGACACAAAGGCAAAACATGGTAGATGTACTAGATGATAGAAGTGGTCAAACATTTGGCAAACCTGAGTTTCATGATGTTTGATGCCATGATTCGCTATTGAAACGGTGCTCTCTTTCAACCAGGACACCTTAGCAAAACCCTGTAAAGCTGCTCCCCATGCACCAGGACACCCTTGGTGGACCTACCTGGTGCTTGTCATTATTATGGTGGACTGGTTGGGCTCCAGGTTGAACGACCCCCCCCCCATCTGTCCCTCCCAGCTGGGTCCTCGTGAGCACCACATTGGTGGTGGAGTTCAAGACACCCCGCACACGTTGCACCTTCACGTTGGGCATCTGTCGCAAGAACGAGAAGATGGGAACCCCATCCATCACGCTGGACTCGAACAGGAAGCGTTTCCCATGCCTCAGGGCTGGCAATGCATAGGTTTAACATTGTATAGGGACGCCCCCAATGAGCTGTGGTCTGGAAGAAGGAGAGTCTTTCAGGGGTCTCCTTGTTGTATTGCACACACTGCACAGCACTATCAACATGATGAGAGATTGAAACAAGGGAATCGGGGCGTTGTCTTTAAGATGCATATGAATTCACTGAAGCTCTAGGGGGTGCAAAACTTGCTGTCTAGGAATGGCCCGATCACACCGGCAATCATTTGCAAAGGTGGTGATATGCAAATAGAATGAGGGAGAGTTCAAGAGTTAAACATGATGAAAACCAACCGCGAAACAAAAACGCTGAGGGCAAAGCAAGCGAATTCACAGCCTCTTTGACCCGCAGGGTCCCGAATCTGCCTGGCAGCCAGCGCTTTGAGCTTTGGGTAGGCCAGGGCTACTGGAGCTTTGCTGGCAGTGATGGCATGTGCCTTAGCTGAACAGGTCATCAACGAGGTCCCAACAGCGACTCCGTGGGGGCCTTCCAGCACCCGCAGTCGAATGTCGATCGTCGCCACGGGTTTTCCTTGTTAGGACTAAGCACTTGTAGGACTTGTCCTCCTTGTCCTTGATGTTCATTGATAGTGTTATGATGTGTTCAGTGTTAAGTAAATACACGCGCGCAAATATGTGGTTTTTTTTGGGGGTGAGTGCATCCCAAACCTGCCTATTTCTATTTGGTTTTTGTAACTTTCAAAGGGCTCCAACACAGCTTGTTCATTTCCTGCTTTGGTGTTGTAAAGTGCGACTGTTCGTTGTTTCTGCATGTTTCTGTGCCATTGCTTCATCACCAAACAGAAAACTAAGCATCATTCTGGGTGCAAGGTCTTTCATATTGTACTTGGATGTTCTTGGATTAATATATTATAGAGCGAGATAAAAAGGAGGTTCGACTCAATTGTCCTTCATCTTGCGTCTGTAGCCGGGAAAACCCATATATACCTGTAGACCCCAAACACTACTTATTTGTCATGTCTGGAGCGAAACATCGCTTCTCAAAAATCGTCTATCCTGGGAACAAATCGTTTTTCCCGGAAACACCTCCAAATGGGAGCTGATTCGTGAAGAAGAATGGCTTGCCATGGCTTATGTCGTTTTTGATCTCAGACTTGTTTTGCTCATGGACTATTTTATATCACCAGCATGGGCCGGTGTCACCCCCAAACCCTCCTGTATGAGCAGTGCCCGCGTATGGACCACTTGTAAAGAATGAGGGGGTAGGGTAGCAAATCCGTGTTGAGTCAGTTGGTTGGTGCCCATGCGAACACAAAACCCAGATTGTGCCCTTCAGCGTGTGATTTGGGTATCAATGTCTTGAAAGTAACACTCTCAGAAAAACAGGTCTCCAAACATCTTGTGTTTTCCGCAGGTTGTCGAACGGACTTTAATGACAAAAAGCCCTCCAAACTATCCAAATTTTCAGGTTCCCGCGGGGAACCCGTCTATAAGCGTGGGGAACCCGTCTATACCCGTGGGTCATACTGGAGAAACCATTTTTTAGACGTGTTTCCTAACCCGTGGGGAACCCGTAAAAAAACATCGTAACCCGTAGGGAACCCGGAAAAAATATGGGTTCCGGAGTATGCAATTTGAAGGTGTCCATGAGGAGAATTGATCACTCCCATGTGATGCCGACAACGTGCCAATTCGGATTGATCTTGAAGCACTTCAGTTTCTAGGGGTGAAAGAAAAAGAAACATGCTTTTTGTAGACTGCTTTCAGACCACAAACACACAGTCACACAGTTGTTCTTTCTTTCCGCACATGTGTTCATCTGAAATCTGGCATCGCTCCTTCAGAAATCAGAAAGGATCGCAGGACTCTGAAGTAGTTTTGCTTGGTGCCATGTCTAAGATGTCTATAATGACAAGCTCTCCTGTTTGGAGGAAGGTGGGCACATCAAGATATGAATAGCAAAGTTGAGAGGAATAAAAGGGGATGATGTGTGCGTTTGCCTGGCCATGTACTTCAGACAGCATGCCCTCAAAATGCACAAAATCAAGAAACATCGTTTATTTTTAGATCTGTCACTTTTTAAGGTTCTGGGGTCTTATGGTATATATAGAGTCACCTGAGCCATCGAATGCTCGAGTTGACATGGGTTACCTGCTTTTGACCCATGTGCTCCAGGGAACCGCTGGATACGCCGCTGATGGTGATAAGCAAGAGTGGGATCCAATCGACACAACTGGACAACGACTCCCTTTGGGGACATCAAACATTCTAACCTTGTTGAATGCCAAATGGTTTTGCACTCCTCTCAGCCAAGCTGCCTTCATACAAAGTGCCTCTTGGGGTTGGGTCACACTTGCCGAGAATTTCATATTGCCGCAATAACATAACATCCAAACACATCCAAAATGAAATTCAATCCAACCTTCACCGTGATAGTGCACCGTAGACACTAGAGGTGGGCACTAAACAAACTCAGAACAACTGTGATTCCTTCTCCGGAAGCAGCCGACGGACCGAAATGTTTGCAACATTGCAGTGCTTTCAAGGCTTCGATGGCACTGGCACCCAAAAATGAGCTTTCGGTGGGGCCCCAAAAATGTCCAACCGCCTTTTGAGGAGTAGTGCTGGGAGTGCCACCTACTCATTGAAACCACTCTGGTACTACGGAGATGGATGGAATCGTGTGAACTTAGGGCGTTTTGATGGGGCTTTGCTATGGCAGCTATGGAATCTCGGCAGGTTGGTAGTGTAGTTGAACCCAGTTCGCCTGCTGTAAGAGCTCCAGAGCTGGCTGGCCATCCTTGGATCCGTTCATGGCTTCCAGCACTGCATCACAGTGCCCCTCCAAGTGCCGGAGCAAGGCTGAGGCATCCGGCAGGAGGGTGGCATTCTCAAAGGACAGCTTTTCGGCCTTCAAGCAGGCCTGCCAGACCAATGAGCGAACCAACCTAGAGTAAGTATCGTATGATAGCAGTGGCGCCAGTTCCTCAATGCCAAACAAGGAGGAGGTAGTAGTAGTAGTAGTAGTAGTACTACGACTACGACTAATACGACTACTACGACTACTACGACGACGACGACGACTACTACTACTACTAGTGCTAGTACTCGGGCATCCACCAAATTTAGCCAACGTGCATCCTCAGATTGGGTCTGGCCAGTCGACCAGTTCGCCTGATCAACCTCGCCCCGACCTCGCCCACCGACGCCTCCAAGTCCAAGCCATCCACGTTGGCCACCGTGCCCCGCGTCAAGGTGGCCAGGCCCACGACCTCCGAAGATCGGGCTTTACAGTCGTTACAGGACGTCGGTGACGATTGTGGTGCCTGGTTAGATTGGAGCCAGCCTTTGAGGAATATGTACACCTATGAACCTGGAAAAAGGCAAGACCCTTTTTTGACCAAGTTTGACCAACATATTTGGGCATCCCCTCTTTAAGAAAGATCTGTGCATTCCAGGAAACCTCATGTCCATCACCCCCAATTGACCCCCCTATGATCTTCTAGTGAGGCTCAAAAATGCCCTCCCAACCCAGTGGCACAAGAAAGAACATTTGCAAAAGGTTTTGGATTCTAGAGCCACAGCCATATCTTCCAGCAGCATACTTATTTGGAGTGAAAAAGATCGGTCTTGGGAGAGTCTCTTGGCGCGGGGAGGGAGAGACACCGAGAGAGAGAGAGAGAGTGAGTTAGTGAGTGAGTGAGTGAGTCTAGTCTCTTCTATAATGCAGTCCATGAAAGTGCCTCCTGTTGACATGCGCCTCCCTTTCGACAGCTGCAGTTCCGACAGCGCGCATCTCACAAAATTAAGCCCTTTCGGAATCACACCCCAAATTCCCAACGCTTGGTAGAGTCGCACCTACCATCCACGATCCAACCCAGTAAAAACCATCCTTCACCGTCCAGGCATTGGGCACGAACCTCCGCCGCGCGTGCACTGGTGCACACCTTGACCTCGAAGGGCCAGCGTTTTGAGAGCAGCAACCGAGCCACAGCTTGCCCCACGTGTCCAAAGCCGATGAGACACACGCGCACGGGGGGGCGATCAGCCATGGCAGCGGCAGATTTGCATTGTGTATGTCACTCATGTCACTCTTACATCAGCAAATCGAGCCTCGAAAGAAATCTGGACTATTGTGCTTGCAGTTTCTGCTAAATGCTAGCCACTGCCAGCGTCATTGCCAAGGCCTGCTTACAATGATGAAGCAGGTGCCTTGTGGGTACCTTCTCTATATCAAATGCCTTGGGCACAGCATGCCGTTGCAAGCGCAAAGAGAAAAGGTCAAAGGCTTCAAATGAGGACCCTGAGCAAAATTGAGGATGATAGTCCCCTTAACATTCACACATTAGAAGAAACAAACCGTAACGGTAACGAACCTACATCTCTAGTGGAACATGCTTTGAATTGCTTTTCTGCACTGCCATCTCCCTAGCAGCCAGTGTCACCAAATGTTTCCAAATATATTTAGACAAATGCCCTCTCAAAAGATTAAGAAACCCCCACAAAATCTCACAAACATTGCTTGAAATGAGATTCCCTCCCACTAATCAAAAAATATGATCTAAGTTATTCTATATACCAAAATCTATTATATTCCAAAAACCTCCCCAACAACAACATCATGACATCACGATCCCCGAAAAGCGCCCCACATCACGGCATCCCCGCCTCGTTCCGCACGGAGCACCAGCGGCCGGTGAGCTCGGCGGCGCAGGCGCTCAGGTGCACCAAGACCCCCACGAAGTCCAAGCAAAGCCGCGCGGAAGTGGTGAAGACGAGGCCCAAGAAACGACAAAGCAACCTTGAAACGATGAGTGAAAGGACACGCATTTTTGTTCGTTTTCGTCTTGTTCGTTCATGAATGCATTTGGGGTGAAGGTCTGCATGTCTGCTGAAGAGTCTGAAAAAAGCCGGGAAGGTCACGGATTGATCATGATTGATCCTCTGAAGAAGGAGCACTGCGAAAATCACATGGAAGTGGAAACTGTGGAAAAATGTGGAACATGCGGTGGGTGTGGCACAAAAAGGATAAGGAATGGGTTCCAGACTCTGGGAGCGTTTGAAGATTGAATCATGCTTGGTCAAAGAGAATCAACTGTAAAAGTAGCAGGGGTACGTGGCCCCTGCGTCGCTGCGTGCCGATTGGGGAGACCTCTTTGGATGCTCCAAGGGTTCAGTGATTCCGGGCAATCATTATTTATTACTTGACCCATTATCAGTAACAGTGGATGATGATGGTTAGATATGGTTAGTCGGTCAATTATGCCTCCCAAGGGTCACGAAAAAATGGAGCCCTCAATGGGTTGCTTTGAATTCAACAACCAGTGTGTGGAATATGGTACACAACTAGTGCCCACCCGCAAAGCAACAACACATTCAAATGGCTCGAGCCAATTTAACACACACACACACATATGTATATATATATATATGAGCCACGGTCAAAGACCTTATCGGTTTTCAGCTTTTTGTTCAATCAGATGCTTTTGGCATTCGCCTTTACATTGTGGATGCATGAAGCGGAGCTACCTACTCGCTGAAATCAGAAGCAATGGATGACGAGCTTGTTCAGAGCTCGCTTGTCAGCGGCGGACAAAAGCATTGCAATCTCGAGTGGGTTTGCGAAATTTGGTGTACCTATCTCTATCTTAATCTTTATCGGCCTTCTGTTTGCTGGGATGTAAAATACTGATACGTAAGTTCTCAAGAAGAAAGGCTAGACCAATGTCTTCGACTTGAGAGAGGAGGGGGTGAACGAAAGGTAGCAGGCAATCACAAGTAACCCTGGTAGAAGTCCATGACGGCGTGAACCGGCGCAGGGGGGATTTGATCCAGGGAAGGGGGGGGCCCCCCCCCCGACGAACAGAATCAACTCTTAGAGGACCAAATTCAATGCACAATCCCAACTCCTGATTGTAATACATTTTTGCTAAAGCAAGGAGAACTCAGGTAGCTCAAGCTACCTTTCGTGATAGGGAATTTAGCTGTCTCGTCAGCAGGCTCTGGGCAAGTGGCTATGAAAGCTGAAAACATATCCAAACGGTTATCGGCGAGTTATCGGTTTCGTTATCGGCGTAGTGGCCACATAGAATCCTGAATTTTCAAGAAATGGCTGCAGATTAGAAAAAGAACAACACAGCAACAAAAATATTGATTCCATATCATATGGCTGAAGCCACCACCTAGGGTACTGTCAGTGGGGCTTTCATTCGACATGCAACAGGTACCGCAAGGATCTGTCAATAATGATAATAAATACCATCATACATAGGTTATCGGTTTTGGGGGGACCTTATCGGTTTCCAATACATCCTCACCCTAAGCCATTCACATCGACCTCTCCTGACTAAAGTAGTCTACACTTATTTTGACCCCACCTCATATATATTAAAAGAACGTACACCGTGCCCTCAAAAATCCACCATGAGATGATGGGGCTCTCCAAGTCTGAACAAGCACAGGCGACTTCTCCGCATGTAACTCTGGCAGTGTCCGGCTTTCAGCTGAAAAAACATCACCCCTTACGGGTGGCCACGAAGGCACCGCTTTTCCCACCCCTTGGACCAACCATCGGCTCATACCCCGAAAGGTGCGATGAAGTTCTGTGGAACCTGAAGAAAAAACAAGCACCTCTTGAAAAAGAGCTCCTTTTCCCCTGAAGGGTCTTGGACGATGATGAACTTTAACGTGTAGATGCCCCCAAATAGACACCACACCAAAGCAAAGCCAAGCTCCGCTTCAAGCGACTAGGTGAAAAGCTTATCAGTCAGAAACCCAAGTGCCAAGGATCAAGGAAGGCAGAGCCTCACACTCAGAGAGCCGCCTAAGGCACTTGTGGGCGCAACCCGCACAAGCAACACCCAACTACACGTCCGCAAAGCCATAAAAGGCCCTCCAGAGGGAAAGTTGGACTTCAATCAACCAGTTCTGAATCGCAAGCCTTTCAGCAGGGGATTGGTCGGTCACGGCCCAACCCCACCGCGCAACACAACGTTTAGCAGGCCGAGGGACACAAGAAGGTCTATGAGGACAAGACCAAGCGATGTGATCCCAAGTGCCAACGGACTGACAATCACCCCAAATGCAGAGCAAAGAAGGGCGACCAGCCAACCTGCCCTGCAAAGAGGCAGGCGACAAGGTAGCCCCACAACAAACAGCACGAGCGGCAGCGCAGCTATGAGCAAATGCACGAGTCGCCTTCCAATTAATGGAAGAAAAGAAACGATGAACGAAACAGTCAGCATCGTCAGCATCTCTACGACCAGAGGCGATATGTTTGCAAATACACCACGCCCGCCAGCTTTCACGCACCACATGTTGAGCCTGTCCAGCGACGACCCCGCCAGTGGACAGATCCAAAGTTAAACCTGTGCAGTCATGGTTGAAGGGTCTTGGACATCCTCTACCTACCCGGCACAAGTGTTGATCATTTTCAGGTGTTCGTCTATGCGGGTTGGTGACGCATGGGGAGGGGTTGGTGACCGCTAGCTTTCGTGATTTGAAGTGGTGCATTTCTTGGACAGAAGATGTGTGTTATGATTTGTTTGTTCGTTCAGTCGTGGACCAAGTCCCATGTGTGGGACAAAGGCATCCAAAGGCCTAAGGGCCCAAGGGTGACACCGGGCAACGCAAGTCCCGGACCGATCGGCAACGCGACCTGGGGAAGGTCCAAGCTACATTTCAAAGGTCAAAATCTCCTCCATCACGAAGCCGTTCAGGATCGTCTTCCTCATGTCACTGCATTCACTCCCCTCGCGTGAACTGGTTCATGCTGCAGGGATCTTCACTTGCCAACCCCAAGGACAAGTGGCTTATCTTCCCATTTGTTGCAATCACGAAAGGGACACAATATGAAACAATTGCTTCCGACGGAAGGAGCCCTCAAATGAACCTCAGCACACACCTCTCCTCACAACCAGGAATCTGGATCCAAGTGCGCCAGTGGTCGATGAGTGATTTGGGTTGGACATCGGATCGATTGGCCACATGTGGGATCCATTGGGTCTATCATGATCTATCCGATATCCGATTACCAGTAAGAGTGGATGATGATGATGATGATGATGATGATGATGATGATGATGATGATGATGATGATGA